GCTCCCGCTCCAGCAGCGCGTCATGGGAAACGTGTCACAAAACTCTTTTTCTCTTGTAAGAGGGGAAGTGGTCGTATCGGGGGAACGAACGGAGTGAATGAGCACGGCGGGAACCACGACGCGGTATCACTAAACCACTTCAGTCCAGTCCAAACCACGACCGTCCAAACGAAAGTCGGCTGCATGCACCAAGGCAATAAATGATAACGCCCAAAGCAAACCGGAACCGGAAGAAAACGTTCATTTCCTGTACAGGAAATACTGTGAATGCAAAAGACGCGTCCTGTTTAAACAGCCCTTAACAAGGATGGGTTGCCGACCGCAGCTCGGAGTACGCAAAGCCAAAGCTCGCACTGCTGAACCCAGGGATCCTGGGTTCAGTCTCTCCCCCTGCCCGTACTCGATGAGCATCGTACCGGCGTGTGATCGTGCATCACTACCCCACGCTGTTAGCCTTACTGGATTGGCAAAATCTCCCATCTACAGCGGAGCGGCTCTACCTTTCTGCTTTCTAAACAGGCAGGCAACGCAATTACTTTGAAACCACGTCAGCAAAAGGAAGCGTAGATAGCTTTCAGGGCTTCAGAAGACATTAAGACCTATGTTTGCGACTTCCAAACCCTTATTTTCGAAAAATTTAGATGTTGCAAAAGTGCATTTATCTTTCTTTTTTTTGTTTTTTTTTTGTTAAACCAACGAAAAGCTCGTGGTACGTCGCAGCAAAGAACCGAGCATTGATTTAGAGCACCGGGGGTCTTTTGACGTGAAACGGAAATGCCGGTTACACGCCGTCTTCTCCGCAATCCGGGCAGGACAGCATCGCGATACAAATGTGTCGCGATAGTATCTTGGAGATACTTCTGTGTATCTGTATGCCTGTATCGAGATATATTTTCAAAGTATAGTTGTATTTCAGTAGCGAAATACATTTGCGATATTTCGTTTTTATCGCGATACTCTACCGGGCTTAGGTGTTTAGTTTAGAGCACTGCACGGGCCGGAATTTCTAGGCCCGGCGCGACCCGGTCCAGAAGAGACATGACGCGTGCCCGGCCCGAGCCCGAGAAATTATTTAATTTCTAGGCCCGGTCCGACCTGCCCGGTAGAGAAAATGCCCGCGCCTGGCCCGAGCCCGTCAGAATTTCTAGGCATAAGCCCGAGCCCGGCCCGAGCCCGACCATTATTCTTATTACGAGCCTGAGCCTGGCCCGAGTCCGACAGATTATAAACTTGAGCCCGAAAAAGTTTGCAGGCTTTAGCCTTAAAAATGAAAGATGTTTACAACTTCCTGTAACACCGATTTAGAGCGCAGCTCTTGAGGAGGAGGAGGGGAGGGTACTGAGGGGAGGGTATTCCCCTCCTCCTCATCCGTACCCCCTCCTAGTCCCCCCCTCCTCCTTTCACGCGCAAAGCGCGCGTTGTCACGCTACGTTTCGGCGCGGTGCCGAAACGTCACGTGACGGTTCGGTGAAGTCACGGTGACGTTTCGGCACGTGACTTCCACCGAAACGTCACGGTGACGTTTAGGCACGGTGACATTTAGGCGCGGTGTATTGTGGGACGTTTCCCGTAACACACCGCGCGGTTTGGTCAACGCCGACGCCGCTCAAGTCAGAAACGGGCGCCTAAGAGCTACGTTCTAAAACTGTCTAAGCATAAAACTCGGACTCTCCCACTATGCTCGTGGAGTCCCATGCGTTTTCTTTTCTTCACTTAAAGGCTTTCCATGTGCAAGATGTTTCTTTATTATATTTTAACGGCGTTGTAGTGACCTTGCACTTTGCTTGTTTTGTTTTCATTGAACCTAAAAGATCAATGAGCACACTTTTTGTTATCAACAATCTAGAATTTGCTGTTCACGACTGCCCAGGCACGGTCCGAAAAGATTTTTGTTCAAGCCCGAGCCCGGCCCGGGCCCGAGAAAATCCGTCCTACCCGGCCCGAGCCCGGCCTGCGGACCGGGCCGGGCTCGGGCCCGGGCCGGGCTAGGCCCTTTGGGCTGGCCCGTGCCCTTATAGTGATCTAATCTAGTTACATTTGTTAACGAAAATTAACTCTCGGTTTATTACAATAAACTGAAAACCACTTTTTGCAAGAGGTCCCAGGATTTGTTATGTGAACCAGGTGCGCAACTCCCGCAGGTTGGAAGCCTGGTTTGCTAATAAAGTCACTGGGTCCAGAAAACGTAGCGCCATTGCCTTCCCTGCCTGCTAGCACAGACCTGGACACTAACGGATACTAACGTACAGACGACAAACCTCGCAAGGTGATTGGCTGATCGGCCCCAGTTGCCGTGGCAATCGCCAGTTTGGTCCATTGAAATCTTCGAAGCTTCGAAAGGGTCGTTCTGAACCAATGGCGCCAAGATCGCGATGGAGCATCATCGTACTGAAAGCGTTACTCGCCAAGATGCCAAGGTCCTTGGCTCTGTGCATGCAATCCACTTATCAGCCACGTTAATCTCCACGGATCCCTTAAAGTGGTATTCTTGTTCTTGCGTATTTAAAGACAAGAAAAGTATTTTTCAATGCCGCCAAGAACTGCACCACATGTAATGGTGGTGCGATGATGTGCGCTTCTTTCACCAGTGTGTGGATAACAAACTTTCGGTATGCCAATGTCTTTATAAAGCAACCTGTCACCGGGAATTTAGGTCGGCTCGCGAAGAATGGAGAGGTCAGAAAAAATTGCTCATTTCATGAACCAAAATGGCAATCATGCTGGTAGCTTTTGCGCAACTTTCCCAGGATTCCTCGATTTTAGTATATCGCAGTCACCAACATAAAAAAAAATGTGCTTTGAAGAACGGTCACTTGCAAGAATAGCAGGGTATGCTCGTCCCCAAAAGTCCTCTATTTTATTTAAATTTCGCAGAGCGACCTCTTGAAGTGAAGGCGAGTGTAAGGGAGGAAATAACCAGTGACGAAGAGTAGAGAAATTTAGAGCGCAGCCTGCGCGCGACCTTCTCCGGTCCAATGCAGAGTAGGCCTGGCTTTATTGTCCAGTCTGTTTGTCCTGGGCTGACTTCAGGCACACTCTCACGGCAAAATAGGGCTCAGTTTGGTGAGAAGTCATTTGTCAAGCCTCGGAATCAGTAATTGATCTCTAGTAGTTCACTAGAAGCAACTACGGTTTCCGTTTTTATTTTTAAGTGGCATTTGGGATTGTTCCAGTGAATATCTAAAACGTTTGCGACAAGGGGAGCTGCCTAAGCAGACGTAAAGAGAGCAATACGAGTACTACCACTGAGTTCGCTAAAAAACCCTAACACTTTCGTGAAAAAAAATTAATATTTTTGTATGAATTTTTATTGTGTTGCAGAATAACTTTTGGGTCGGTTTTGCAGCAGTATGTCGAGGATATTCAGTTACATAAAAACAAAATGTATCTCGGTATTTATTTTGATTTTTTTACATTGATCTTTTAAACTTCATGTATCTCACTATTTGCATTTCCGAATATTTTTTATTATCTCCGACCAGCCCTATCTGCAACAAGCCTTCTTCAGAGTATACGGTCGCCTTGGGTGTGATTCAAACCCGCCACCTAGAGATTCGTAAATATGGATATTGCCTTAACACGTAAAGGGCTAAGGTGTCCGGATTTACTTTTTAGAAATACGAAGAACAAAACTTCGCTCAACTTTGAAAATAATGTATTGACAATCGCAAGCAGGGTATCCGGCCGCCGCCATGTCTCGGCTCGTGTTAGCAAGTACTTGCATTTGCAAGCTTGAAAAGGCTACCTTCACGCACAAGCTGAAATGGATGCCTCAGTAGTCGGGTTTCCATGCCTGCAGTTGTGCTATATTTGTGTCAAAATCAATTTTTCTCTGCAAATATGAACAATCCTGATGTTACACATTTCTAAAATAGAGAACAGGAAGAATAAAAACAGAACATGTATACAGAATATACTCGCTGTTTTTTAGAGGCGAAGCTCCTTAGGGTCTAGCCTTGTCCGTCCGTCCGTTCTCACATAAAAAGAAAAAATGTTTGTGCAGTCGAGAGGATTCGAACCTGTGCGGGGAGACTCCAATGGATTTCTAGTCCATCGCCTTAACCACTCGGCCACGACTGCGGGACGAGTAGGGGTCTCTGAGATGTGGTAATAACTCAAGAGCTGGGGTTTCTGTCATGGATGAAACGTTGCGTGTAGCCGCTCGACGTCTATACAGGAGAGGGCGCTGCGGTCAAATGTTCAAAAGCGTATATAACCACGTTCCATACCACATATTCTCTTTCTGACATGGACTGTTAACTTAAGCGGTGGAGATGCGTTCCCACGGCTTCTAACGGATCTAAGCTGATCCGCTAGAAGAACCACTGGCTCTGCATTTCACCGACCATAAGGAAGTAATACTGAAGTCGAAATGCAACCCGGAACTCAGCACTACCTATGAGCAATAAAAAAAAAATCAGCACCATCAGCACTACCTATGAACAATAAAATCAGTATCATCAGCACCACCAGAGATCGCCCCAATCAACATCATTCACCACGTGGGGATGCGGTCATTTTTTTTCTTGCGGTTAATCTTTCTAGATCAACAAATCAACAACATCCTTATAACTAGGTCATTGTCAGAAACAAAAGTTAGTCGCTGGTTGGAAGATTATGAAAAGCAACCTCCTCTAGCTTAGGAGTAGCAACAGATGTTCCAATGATACTACTAATTATACCCATCGACAACTTAGGAAACGCTTCTAGCTTATTGTTCACGCTTCTAGCTTATTATGTTCACGCTTCTAGCTTTATGAATGGTTCTTCAACATTCTTATCAGCCAATGCTGCAATCTCATTGACTGTGGAGTGATGATGAGGTGCGGGGAACTCGCCACGTCATGCGTTTTTTTAAGCTGGCACTGACTGTACGTCTCTTAAAAAAAACCTAGTGCCACACTTGGTCTTCCAGGAGGCTCTTTCTTCATAAGTTGGGTTGCGAGAAGTAGGCAAAACCAAGTGTACAAGCAACATCACCAAACCGATAAAGTCTTCACCTTTTCTCCCACTTCGGTGAGGTCTCCCGCTGGAAAGCGATTCAAGTCGTTCACGAGCTGGCAGAGGTGCAGGACGCGCTCGTAGCGTTTAAGATCCAGTGGCTGGCCGAATAAGATGTTATCCCGAACGCTCATGTTATACACGGTCGCTATTTGGGGCACGTAGCCGATGCGTCCCTGCAAAGCGAGCACACCGGATCAATGTTTCATAACTTGCACTTCCTCTCCTGGTAAAAAAAAAAAAAAAAACCGATGTATCAGGCTACCAGAGTTAAGAGATCATACTCAAGCTTCTGGTAACTAATGACCAGGAGCTCAGGTGAGGACAATTAAGGCACCAGGGTTCCAGGGTTTAGAGGCCATACCTGAGTTTTTGGTGACTAACGACCAGAAGCTCAGGCAAGGATTAGGTACTACGCTTTCAGAGTTTAGAGACCACGCCTAAGCCTTTGGTGACTAACGACCAGAAGCTCAGGTGAGGACCGGTACCAGGCTTCCAGAGTTTAGTTACCACACTTGAGCTTTTGGGGACTAACGAACAGAAGCTCAAGAAAGGATGAGGTACGAGGCTTCCAGAGTTTAGATATCATATCTGAGCTTTTGGTGACTAAAGATCAGGAGCTCAGATAAAGATAAGGTACCAAGCTTCCAAAAATTAAAGACGATACCTGAGCTTTCGGTGACTAACGACCAGAAGCTCAGGTAATGATGATGTATCAGGCTTTCAGCGTTTAGAGACCATACCTGAGCTTTTGAGACTAACGACCAGAAACTCGGGTTAGGGTGAGATACCAGGCTTCCAGAGTTTAGAGACCATACCTGAGCTTTTGGTGACTAACGAACAGACGCTCAGGTGGGATGAGTAACCAGGCTTCCAGAGTTTAGAGACCATACCTGAGCTTTTGGTCACTAACGGCCAGAACGATGAGGTGACTAACGGGCAGGCTTCAAGAGTTTAGACACCATACCTATGCTTTTGGTGACTAATGGCCAGAAGCTGAGGTAAGGATGAGGTGCTAGACTTTCAAAGTTTAGAGACCATACATCAAGTTTTGGTGATTAACGATCAATCTGAAGCAAAAATGATGCATCAGGCTTCCAAACTTTAGAGATCATACTTGAGCTCTTAGAAACTAACGACCAGAAGCTCAGGTAAGGATGAGGCACCTGTATTTTAAAGTTTAGAGACGATATCTGAGTTTTGACGACCAACGATTAACGGTCATGCTCAGGTTAAGAACGAGGTACCATGCTTTTGAAGTTTAAATTCCACATCGGATCTTCTGGTTATTAGGTTGTTTTACGTTGTTACCCAATCGCGTGTCAAGAATATAGTGTGACCACCAATGCCTGGCAGTCGTTGAGCTATAACGTGACACCCTGTCAACCACCGTCACATGCTATGAGGACTCGATAGCTTTGTGATTTAAACACACATACAACAGAGGGCTGCTTCCAGAACTTCAAGACGCGTATGTACCCTTTTTAACTGCTTATCATACAGGAAAAAAAGTTACGGCCTCTGGGCTGTTGACAGGTGTGCTCAGACCGCTAATGCTCAGAACGTGTTCCATAGCTTAGTTGAGAAGAAAAAAAAAAAAAGGCAGCTCGCAGAAGGCATTGTTTGCGGATGGTGTATACCTGTTACACAAATGCAATATAAATAAATGCACTGCCGCCTCACGTGAATGTCATCAGGTTTTGTTTTTTTCGGACGGTCTCTTAAAATACAAAAAAAACGAAAATTGGTTATTTTGTTATATTTTGTTATAGTGAGTCAGTTTACCGTTACTTGAATTGATCCTTCGATGCGATGCATGTCGCCCATAATGGCGGCAAGGAGCGAAGACTTTCCGCTCCCTACAAACCCTACAACACCAACGAGGGTCCCCGGCTCAATGTCCAAGGATGTAATCTTGAGTCCAGAGCTGAGTTTCTGATTTCCATTCTGTGTCCAAGTGAAGGAGCACTTCTCCAGGTGCACGGAACCTAAGTCAAACCGAAAGAGTTCTGCCGTTCCAGAGAAAATGTCGTACAAGCATGCGTTCAGCTACAATTAATAAATATAAAGGTTTTTTCAAGCGTATACACCAAATAGTTGATTGAACTCTAAGCAAGAGTGCACAGCTTACCGCTAGAATCATAAACGGTATAGACGTTCATTAGACCGCATGTAACTTATTAATGAGATTAATCATGTAAACTAGTTACATATCTATAAGCCCATTGTTTATGGTGAACCGCGTTTGTCCAGAGGCACTGCGAATTCGCCGAAATCATTTTTCTAAAAAGCATAGCCTCTGTGCACGCCTACATCTATAGCCCATGGCTTCGGTGCATGTTGAAGTGAAAGCGTTCAACCTAAAGCGAAAGAGTTGTCTAAGTTAAAAGAATTTACACCTTCTTAAAGTTCAATACTTGGACACTAAATGCTTAATTAACGCAAATGGTTATTCAGGCATAGGCTCTATACAAAAAATAAATCGGCCTAACTTAAAAATTTCGTAAAATGCAATTTAGATGCGAAAGAACTTGATGAGTTTTCAACGAAAATCTATTTTTATTGGAATGAAATGCGTCGCAACAGCTGGCGAAGGAATGAGGATTATACAGGACTTCTCTTCGTCATCGACCTCTTTTATGCGGGCATGCATATTTTGTTTTCCTGAAATGCCTCCGCTCTTATTAGACCAGTCTATTATCGCGCAGTTTTTACCCCACCAAGCACACCACCTTCCTTCGCATGGGAGGAGGGAGAGAGACGCGAGTGTCATTAGCGCACCGCTTATCCCCACATCTATTTTTTATGGTGCTATGCCATTGGTCGCATTCACTATGACGTCAAACCCAGCTGTGCTCCGTTGCTGGTAATATCTCCCGTGACGAATTGTTACGGTGCGACCAGCGCCAACACGAGCAACGAAGGTTCGTGCAGGGTTCGCGTACAAAGCTTTCGCTTTAAAAATACTGTAAACAAATAGGTGCATAGATATTCGAATAAAATAAAGTTAGGGCTGCAGACGAGCTTATTATTGCGCACTATAGTCACCAGCAAGATGAGAACGCAAGGAAGGGGCTTCGGCTGCCCCACCTCCAGCATGAGATTTCTACCTTCGACAGTGCTTCGGCATCTCGTGCGCCTCGAGCAAGCGCGCGCACCCAAAGCAGGATTGAAGGCATGGATCTTTTGCTGGAGGCCGGGCGGTCTAAGGGTATGTAGTAGTTTCTGCACCGTATCCGAAAACGAAAAAAAGAGGGGCAATCGAGCGTTTGTGCAAACTTCGTCGTCATGTTATGTGCGAAGTACCAACTGCCACGTGGTAGCCACTCCCAAATTCGTCGTGAAGAAGTAATGAGGGCTACCTTTCCTGTTGCGCATCCCGCCTCGCCGTTTGGACCGGTTTTCCTTGTTGCTGCCCTCAGAACAGAATTTCACAATTCGCCTCAGACCGAGCGATACCTTAGAAAAGAAAGACATGCAAAAACTATTAGTGCATATCCTTTTGTGTGTTTGGCATGCATTTCATACTTTGAAAGCATCGCGTTCACGTAACTGGTTGCGCGGAGCATGGCGAGCTAGTTATCTGTGCTGTCGTCTCTGCTTCTTTGGGGCCTTGCTTTGCTGTGCGAACGCAGAAGTGACCGATTGTTCTTCAGCATACAAAAGACGCTTGCCGAGGGGGATTCTGCGCATGGCGTGCCGGTGTCCCCGGATCGCTTCGTCGGCACTGCGGCCGGTGTTCGAATCGGCGGCAGTTGGCGCGTACTCCACTGCCAAAGTCAAGCAGTCTGCGTCGCGGGATCCGCTGAGTCGCTTCACTACACGGCTGTGATTACGGTGATCTAAATTGGGTGAGTTGAAGCTTCCGACCCCACCCACGGCCGGAACCGGACTCGGGCCGCATACGCGTGGAACAATCTTGACATAAAGGCGCCACGAGCATAGAACGGGACAGCCTGGCGACAGCAGCAGCGGTCCACAGTTCAGGGGCTAATCTGTTCCTATATGCCCTTGCAGGTTCGTTGTCGTTACTTACTTTGTTTACGACATTATTAAGTCAGCCGCTGCTGCTACCTATGGCGCCTTGCCGTTTCAGCCAGTGATAACTTTTTTAAATGGCTGCGTCATTGAGTTTCAAGTGCAAAGATGAAATCCTCGATGATGAACTATCAATTTTATGTAGTGAGTGTGGGTACTCGTATCACCCTGGGAGTTGTTCGGGAACTTCTGAAGCAACACTGAAAACAAAAGGCGAGTCTTATCACAAAGCTTGGAAGCGCTCCACCTGTCGAGCTGCAAAACTGAAAGGCTGCGCGACCTGCAGGCAAAGACCAGATGGAGGCATATGGATAATGTTGGCGTTCATGAACAAAAAGCTAGATGACCTGCTAGATCTTGAGGAGGCAGTCGTAGCATAGAAGCGTCGGTCATTATGAATATCGGCACAGTATGACGGAATACTGAAAACCGTCACGGAACGCCACAAAGAGGTTAAAAATTTCAAAACTAGAGTTGAAATAATCGATTAACAGGACGAAACTATGGAACTTGACGAGTTAAAGCTGGAGCTTCATGACCTTAAATGGAGAAGTCGGAAGCTTAGTTTGGAATTCCGCGGTACACCAAAAACTGAAAACGAAGATCTGTTAAGCAAAGTGAACGAGGTGGCATGAAGTCTAGAAGTGCCTGAGAAATCGCTGTCAGGCGTAAAAATGGCGAGGATGTCTTTGTGGTAAGGAGTGTCGAAGAATTGCGAACCATACCGTCGTAGTTTTATACTGACGTCACTCATACTCTAGAATTTTTTATTAAACGCATGGTGACTTCTTCAATGGGAGAGAGTACGCCTCTCCTTCCACTACTTTCGGATGAGTTCTCATTGAGAAATAATATAATTTGCAAGTAAAGTGTTTTCATTTAATACACAGTCCGCAATAAACAAAAAAGCAGACATTGAATTGTTTTCTGAACAGTATGGTGTGTTCTTTGATATCATAATGTTTACTGAGGCCTAGTGTAACGACGATTCGGATGTTTTTCCCTTACGCTCCCATGATACACGTTTTAAACCGCACTTCAAAGCGCGGGGGGGGGGGGGGGGGGGGAGGATCGGCCGTTTTGATTAAAAGGATATCGATTGGGAACTACTGAGCAACTATTATCTTATGACAAAAGATTTAGAACTCTTGTGCTTACGTAGCAATAAAAAATGTATTCGCTGCCTTCTATCACCCACCGGACTGTAGAATATCATTTGTTTGCCATTATTTGTGTTTACAAATAAAAATGAAAGCCGTTTACAACTCCCTGTAACGCAGAATTTGAGCGCAGCTCTTGAGGAGGAGGAGGGAAGGGTACTGGGGGGATCAGTTGACCTCGGAAGGAGGGGGGGGTCACGTGACCTCGGGGGAGGGGTCACGTGACCTGGGGGTCACGTGACGATGACGTCATCAGTGACGATGACGATGACGATGCGGATGCCGATTACGTCATTGGCATCCTCATCGCCATCGTCATCATGACTGACGTCATCAGTGATGATGACGATGACGATGCGGATGCCGATGAAGTCATTGGCATCCGCATCGCCATCGTCACTGATGACGTCATCAGTGACGTCACTGATGACGTCATCGGCATCCGCATCGTCATCGTCATCATCACTGATGACGTCATCGTCACGTGACCCCCCCTAGGTCCTCCCGAAGGAACCCGAGGTCCTCCCGAGGTCCTCCCGAAGGAGCCCGAGGTCCTCCCGAGGTCCTCCCGAAGGAACCCGAGGTCCTTCCGAGGTCCTCCCGAAGGAACCCGAGGTCCTTCCGAGGTCCTCCCAAAGAAACCCGAGGTGCTTCCGAGGTCCTCCCGAAGGAACCCGAGGTCCTGGGGGGGTCACGTGACGATGACGTCATCAGTGATGATGACGATGACGATGCGGATGCCGATGAAGTAATTGGCATCCGCATCGCCATCGTCATTGTTACTGATGACGTCATCAGTGACGCCACTGATGACGTCATCGGCATCCGCATCGGCATCATCACTGATGACGTCATCGTCACGTGACCCCCCCCCTAGGTCCTCCCGAAGGAACCTGAGGTCCTCCCGAGGTCCTCCCGAAGGAGCCCTAGGTCCTCCCGAGGTCCTTCCGAGGTCCTCCCGAAGAAACCCGAGGTCCTCCCGAAGGACCTCGGGAGGACCGGCTGTACGACACGAGAGCGCACGACACAAGAGCGCAGACGGGAGAGCGCGCGACAGGAGAGCGCTGCGACACGAGAGCGCACGACGGGAGAGCGCCGCGACACCAGAGCGCACGACGGGAGAGCGTCGCGACTCGAGAGCGCCTGCCATTAGAGCGCGCGTCACGAGAGCGCATGTGCGCGCCTTGTTTTCTCGAATCGAACGCCTTACGTCATTTTATTGGCTGAGCACGCAGACCTGTGGGAAGTCTAAAAAATACAATTTCCGCAAACTAGTAATGAAGACGCAAGATACAGAGTTTCGGAAATATAGTTGTTTATCAATTTCCGTTCCATAGTACTAAAAAAAAATTTCAAAGACTGAATGATTGCGCGACACCGCGGAGGTACTCTAGCATGCACCTTTGGTCGTACTCTTCAACCAGCTTGCTCTGATTCTTTGCTACGCGGACGTAGGTGGCCTTGCTGCTCCTTTGAGGCTCTCCGCGAAGTACATCTGCCAGCTTCTGCTCTGTCAAGCTCTGCTCCCTTAGGAATGCGGCCACTAGCTTGTACGTGTCCGGATGATGCAGCCCCAAGGACTTCTGGAATGCATTGTGCCAGGACTCGACGTGGTTGTTGGTCCTCGGGAGCCCTTCGGTGATCCGTTCGTAGCAGCTCCAGAAGTCATGCGGGAAAAGTGCTGGCCTACGCGAGCGGCTCCTTCCGATGCTGGAGCCCACGTACGTCCTCTCGAAGTAATCGAACATTTTGTTGAGGCCGTCGTCTGTTGAGGGAGCATCGTCTTGGAGCTCTTCCAGTCCTGGACACAAACAAACGCAAAATGCTGATAATTACAAAAGCAATGTACATAAATTCTTAAACTAAGACCAGATTTAACGAGAACCAATCCAGACAAGTAACGGAAATCAGTCTTGCACGACGTTGATATGACAACGAGGCTGGCAACGCACGAAGCCTTGCCCGCCTGTACTAAAAATTCTCTTTACCTCGCGCAATGTCACCGGGTCGAACAAACGCCAGTGCCGGTATCATGCTCACTCTTCTTCGGAAGTCACCGTCCTCACGATATCTGCGTAGAAAATTTCATACCTGAGAGGTCAATAATTACTTGTTATTTTGACTGATTTACCTGACGATGAGGTGCTCCTCCTGCATCCGACGAACAAACGACTGTTTTAGGTGGAAGAAGCAGCCCGTCACTTTGGCTGTCGGGAACACCGACTGAAAAGCTCGCTTGGCCGTCACTTCAAAATCCATCATTAACGTCTGAGGTGACAGTCGGGGGCAAAGTTCCTTGAGTGTCCTGAAAACGCGCCCGTAGGCTTCCTGGCTCCGTTTGGTCATCAGGCAGTAGACTAGCGGTAGCACCTTGCCATGAACAAGTCCGTGGATGGTACAGACCTGCAAAGTAAGGGCGCACTATTTTGGAAGCGGCACGATGAGATGGAAGCGTCGCACTGTAGTCACATACAAATTTTTAGAACAAAAATTTAAAGCCGCCAGGTCTTACATATGTAGAGCAACATAGGCGTGCGTCGTACCTGATGGAAGAGCGACGGCGAGACGTCGAAAGTGCCATCGGCGAACCAGTCAGCGTACTGGCTGAGGAGTCGAAGGTTCTCGTCCGTCGCAAACATGAATAGGCGATCTTTGTCTTGTGCGCCAGAGTCATACAGCAAGAACGATCGCCCGTCTGGAAGCGATTCAAGCCAGCTGGGGAGGTCGATCTCGTGAATATGCTGTGGAGCAGGCAGCGACATGTTTAAGGCGCGGCGTGCCCTTGTGCTGAGCGGGCCAATGCGCTTACCGAGGGAAGCTTCAGCCGCTCAGAACCTGTAATTAAATCGTCAATTTTCTGCACTTAGAAACACCACGAAAGTATTTGGGGCTGCTGGAGAGAGAGAGTGAGAAAACAAACTTTTATTTTTATCCTTTTTAGTTTAGGTCGTTGTCTATAAATTTATAGGATTCCTTGCGATGACGACGACCACGATTATCTAAAGAACTTGTTTAGTTAGAATCCTGGTGAAATATCTCTGCTTACTTGTTAGGCCACTGGTAGCTTGCGCAATCATCATTCGCGGTTGATAATCGGTTGTCCTGGCTTTCTGCTTGACCGCAGCAATCACTTCCTCTGCCCGACAGACATCGTGATTCGGCAGGTGACCCTGGTGCTCGCCGGTGGTCTGCGCAAGTGTGCAGATATATTAAAAGTATGTTATTATAAAAATGGCACACTGAAGGCGACTCGGTGGTGGCACTCTGAAGGCGGCGTACGTAAGAGCTCGATCGCATAATCGAGTTCTGACAAATCAAAAATTCTAGAGACAGAAGTTTTATGGTACAATAACCGTTTGCTTACCTTGACGAGGGTCAGTGCACTGTCCCACCCCGCTGTTGTGGCTCGACCGCTGCAGCTTTTTTTCGAGCACCTCCATGTCCTCTGTCCGGTGTTCTCGTTCAGTCTATCCAGGCGATAGGAATAACCATTGTGTTGCAAAAGTGGATGATCTTTCTTGGACTTTGTGATCGATAGCATTTCCACGTCCAGAACAGCACTCCGTTGGAAGATCCGACTTAGTCGTCACGAACGCCCGCAGTGCCCAGCTCCCCTTTTATATTCGCCTCTATACCCATGGTTGACGATTGATTAACCTTGGAAGGGTTTCTCCCAATAACGATAGGTGTTATTGGTGGACAGTTTGACCTTTGTTACGTATGAACAAAGGCCGACCGACATGGAAGTTGTAACCCCTTTCACCGTATCTCCAGAATCGTGTCCCGGAACTTCGCGTGTGCCTCCTTAGAAAATTCGGGTTAAACCTGAACGTTTAAATTAACCCGCTTTCCAGTGAAAGAACACACAGGTTGTCCTCTCCAATGCTTGTATTTCTTTCGTTCAGGTTTAGTGCGACGAAGAGATCGTCTTTCCATTGTTCTCCAAAGTTATTTTCGAACCTGTGAAAAGAAGCAGCCCTTTGTTCAGAGATAAGTGGAAAGGGAAAGAGGTCTTAGGGTTCACGTTCTCATGAACTGCATTCAATTTTTCAGTGTCAAACGTTCTTCAAACAATACAGTTAATGTCCAGGCGAGCTGGGGATAGTTAATCATGATGTGCAAACGGGAAAGTGAGGCGGAAAATTTGGACACCATGAAGCCGAAGAAAAACTACAGAAGAAGACGTCTCTAACGCAGCTAACCCGTTTTTAGCAGGACCAAAACGTTTTACGGTATATGACCTTGTCCTTTTTGTTTTTCTGTGTGTCCGGTAATTGCAAAGGGTATGTCCGCGGAATGTTTGGTTACATTTTACGGCGTTTAGCCGTACAATTGTATTTTTTAAACTTCCCACAGGTCTGCGTCCTCAACCAATAAAATGACGTAAAAATCGTTCTATTCGAGAAAACAAGGCACGCACATGCGCTCTCGTGACGCTCGCTCTAATGGCAGGCGCTCTCGTGTCGCGACGCTTTCCCGTCGTGCGCTCTGGTGTCGCGGCGCTCTCCCGTCGTGCGCTCTGGTGTCGCGGCGCTCTCCCGTCGTGCGCTCTCGTGTCGCAGCGCTCTCCTGTCGCGCGCTCTCCCGTCGGCGCTCTTGTGTCGTGCGCTCTCGTGGCGCCCTTCCGGGAGGACCTCGGGGTCCTTCGGGTCCTTCGGGGTCCGAGGTCCTCCTTCGGGAGGACCTCGGGAGGACCTCGGTTTCCTTCGGGAAAATTTACCCATAACGCACCGCGCGGTTACGCCGATAGCGACGGCGACGGCGACGCCGACGCCGCTCAAGCCGGAAACGGGCGCCTAAGAGCTGCGCTCTAAATTGAACGCAACGTCATTCGTGGGAACCATATAAACATTGATATGTCTTCTGACAGTGCTTCGTAAAAGGGAATGGAGAACTTAGTTACCATCTACATATGTGTCAACACGATTGTTCATCCCACAAGAATTACTTTACACAGTCCAAAACTATTTTAGATTTGTTTATAACTAATTTTCATACAGATCGAGTGAACACTGGAGTTATAAGTTGTGACCTGAGTAACCATCTTCCCATTTCTGTGTGGGCTAAGCATAATATATTTCGAAAACTAATGAAATACCAACCTGCAGTTTTTCAACGCATAGGCAAAAATAGCCTCAATGCTTTTAGACGGGAGATTGCAGCTATTGTTTGGGGTACGGTTCCTACGCAGGAAAGTCTACGGTTTTTACTTTCTATATATTCGTAAAAATATTGAAAAAAAGATTCGTAAACCATGGTTAACTTCCCATTTGATAAAAAAAATAGCAAGAAAGTTGTAATATATAAACGTCTCGTTAAGACACGCGACCCGCATACTCTAAAGGAATTTAAGGCTTAGAGGAACAGCTTGACTAAAAAGCTAGAGAATGCCATAAAAATGTTACTTTTCTTGCGTATTTTCGTCGGCAAATGGTCGCACTGTCACAATGTGGAAACATCTCGGTTCGATGGTGAACGGGGCTCCTGTATCGGGTATCATCGAAGTATTGCAGTATGGAGGTTTAAGTTTAACCAGTCGAGAATTGGCAAATGTATTTAATGGACATTTCGTAAGTATATCTGTTAGTGCCAATAGCAAATTGCCCTTCCAAATATACTTGTGAGAGGAACTGCAGATCTATTTTTAGAATCAATTGTCACTTCAGAAATCACTAATGGGATTATGCACCTGAAAAATATCGGCAGCTGCAGACATGTATGTAACGAGTTACTGCTACCTACTTTTCTCGGTAATGAGTAACGTACTAATTTAATTCTTTGAAAAAGAAACGAGTAACGTACTTAGTTACTTTTAAGGCCAAGATACCAGTAACGGTAAACACGAAAAGGCACAGAGTCGGTTGTCAACCTCGAACATTAGAAGCAGAGAGCACAAAAGACGGAGGGGAATCCCGGATTCGCCAGCTTTTCCTGAAGCACTGCGGTGTTGTTCATTTGAGCGCGTCAGTAGAACGACTCTTCAGCGTCGCCGGAGATGTATCGTCAGTGAAGCGGGTAAACATACTTGATGAAAACTTAGAGAGGCAGCTACTGCTCAAGTGCAACGACCACTGAAAATAAAGCAATAATCCATGAAACAAAAGCAGTTCTGTTTTTGGTCATCAATGTAGCGAGAAAAGTAAGTCACTTCTTTTGAGGTACAGTAACGCGCTCCTTTTCAAAATCGGTAACGAGTAACATATTTATTTACTTTTTGAGCGAGTAACGGAATTTAGTTACTCTTCTGGGTAACGTGTACTTGTCTGGGTATCTGCGATGCTAATGGAATGTGAATTCGCTCAATTAAGCACGTTGTTGCACAAAACGCTCCCATTCTAACCTACATGTTTAATCTTTCTTTGGAATCTTCCGTTTCCCAGAAGAATGCAAGTAGCGAAGGTGTCTGTACTGTACAAAAAGGGAGATAAAATCAGTTAGGTAACTATAGACCTGCTTCTATACTTCCCGTGTTTTTCAAAGCTTTGGAAAAGTTACTATATCATCGTTTACCAGACGTTTCGAATAAATATGGCCTCATAACGTGATCGCGATTTGGTTTTAGGAAAAAGTGCACAACAAAGACAGCCCTTCTTGATCAAAAGAAATTTATTTTGGAAAAGTTCGAAAGCAAAAAATTAGTTAAAGGGGTGTTTTTAGATTTTACAAAAGAATTTGAGTGTCTTAGTTACGAGGTCGTACTCAAAAAGCTTGAAAATAACGCCATTCGCGGACATGCCCTACTGTTTTTACAGTCACACCTACAACATCGCCACCATTATGTTAACAGTAACGGTCATTATTCCACTCTACGGTCTATTGAGTCAGGTGTACCACGAGGAAGCATATGGGGGCCTTTTTTAATTTATACATAAATGATATCATCAGCGTTAATAATTAGGCGAAATTTATATTATGTACCTAGATGATACAAGCATTTTTTTTTCTGCGTAAGGCTGTGACGAATTAAACAATATGGCAAACTTTATCAAATATAAAAAGCTGGGCGGACTAAAGATTATTATTAATAAAACGAAAGCGGCGATTTTTTGACCAAAATTAAAGCTTCTGGCTTTATCTAAAATCCTCCGCTATGGTTAGTCTCCCACTGAAATTGCAAGTTGTTTCAAAACACTAATGTGTTGTTTTTATATTTTTAGCGAGACAATGAGCTGGAATAGTCATATAAGCTGTATTATTCCAAAGCTTGCTCGGTAGTGGGGAACGTAAATCGCTACCGATCTATTCTATCTACGAGCGTTAAATTGTTACATTATAAATCACTATTCTACTTCTACTTAACGTATTGTCATCTTGTTTGGGGCACAATAACAACAACTAACACTGAAAAACTATGTTTGCTGCAGGAGACAATACTGAGAAAAATATGTAATGTGCCATATGGCTTCCATTCTGCCGATTTTTTTAGAACTATGAGAGATTTAATATTTACAAATTATATCACACACAATGTGTACTAGTTTTAAAAGCGAAAGAATACCGGGCTCGGGCTTTCTAGAAAGAGTTGCGTTATTAAGGGAGTTTTCTCCACCGTACCCTACCCGTAACGCAGAGAAAGGGAGGATGGTCTCGCAGCAAACAAATCATGGCAATCAAATGTTAAATTTTACACTTCCACATTTAACTTTCAAGGACATGCGCTTATATTTCTGCACATGATTATTATTTTAGTTTCACGTTTTGTATGTGGGTGAGCCTTGGTTTGTACGAATATAAACAGTGGACGCGAGATGTCTGTATCGTATAAGTTGTCTTTTTATACTTTCCGCATGCTTGCTTTTGAGCAGTGTTAAGGGGCCAAGGACCAATCAAACTGCCTACTGCAGCTTTTTTTTGTCTCCATCATATTTGATGGAGGTAAACGTGTTTTAATCCTTTAGTATTATTATTATTCATATTATTATTATTAACTATGAACAGCTTTTTGATGACCTGCTGCAATGCCGTTTGTTCAGCAGCATTTGTTTTTGTCTGGTCGGTAACGCTACAGCTCGCAGAAAAACTCGATTTAACAAGGCTTGTTCATTATGTTCGCTAGCACGTCCGCCAGCACATTCGTGACAGGCTGGCGACATAGCCCTTTGCAAATATATTTCGTCACTTTCTTCGCTTTGCCCATTTCAATTAAAATTGATTTCGTGCTTTCTTTACGTGCATCTAATATTGCCAGCGCCACTTTGCATTCTTGTCAATTATGCTAAATAGGCTATAAAAAGACTGCTCTAACCCTCCTCGCTGGGCTTATTGTAGATGTTTCTTTGGCGATGTGATGGTAGGCATTCCAACGCGGAAGAAACGTGATTGCACACACCTGACTCCTTAAGCGCAACAGCGACGAAGCTCCGTTGGTGACCATGTCGCTCAGTGACAGCAAATAGATACAAGAGAAAGACAACGATGGCGTAAGTGCCAGCGTTGGTTCAAGAAACGTCATAGCACCGAAGAGCAGGATGGTCATCTGGAAGACAACAAGATGTTGATTGACCATTTGCTTCACGTGTAATGCATAATTATGTACACGAACAAATCACTATGATATCTGAAGCCCTGGTAAGAACTTTAAAATTATCATCCTGCAAGCCTCCAAGCAGCTGACATGTTTCAGAGAATTAGCTTCATATGGGCCCCGAAGGAGCTAAGTTTTTTCACCAACCTCGGTCGCCATCTTTGGGCATCTAGGAGGTTCCTTTTTTAATGACATATATAAGGTTACTTTAGGGCTAAGTGAGGACCAACGCAACACTGACAATGATTAGGACGCAACGAATTATCTTATAATTTTAAAATCCACAGGACGACCCGAACAAATTGCTCGGTCAACTGTGCCTTCTGAGTCAGTCACATGGCGTATTTTGTCCTTGGGGCAGAACATATTGCAGTGCGGGTTTTGTTTCTGAAACAGCGCTTATCCAAGGCATAGAACAGTGTAACTGTAGGCTTTCAGTTAAGGACTTTGTTCGAATGTCTTGTACTTGGGTAAGCTAGGGGTGGACACTTTTACCTTAGCTAAAACTCTGCCCGCAAGAGAAGATTGCATTGGAGGGTCACAGCACCGTAACTTCCTCTGTCGATCCCGAAATGGTTTGAACGCTATATATGTTTATCGGTCAATTTCGCGCCAATGTGGCACGAGCCTAGTTCAATTAGTTCAGTCGGGGTGCGCACCGTGATACTTCAATATACTCGGTGCCTGCGCCTCCCTCCGTTTTCTAGCAAACGCGAAAAGACGACGAGCGATCGACGGTGAACTTTAGACGCTACTTGACTGACGCCATCGGATCGTAATGTCGTCAGATCGTCGGACTTAAAGGAAAACAGAGTGTGAATTCCTTCAGAAGACAGCGACGATCTGTCCAGCATAGAATTCGCGGGGATGGTTTTCACGCGAGCAGGTCTTTTTTCACGAGTACTCCATGAAGCGTACCACCGAGCTGGAGGCGCCGTAGAGCGAGTCGATGATGCCGTCAAGGAGGTTGATCTGGAACAGATGCGCTGTCTCGGCGTCCCTGGACAGCTGAATCTTGGCCATGTGGGCGTCCTCCCAGGCGTACATTTTCACCAAGCGCACAGAGGAGAGGAGGTCGCACATCTGCTTCAGCCGCTCGTCCCGGGCCTTCAGCGCACGTTTCTGGAGGACGGTACGTAAATAGAGGTCACTTCTATTTAGGTTCCTGTACAACTGTTGTTGTGTGGTTAATAAAAAGTATTTTCTGGATTCGGGCGGGTTTGTTACAGTGCTTGGAACGCATCTGCGACATGATTGTTCAGCGTCTTATCCCGCATACTCATCAAAAGGTGTCCCGAAGTAGCAACAAATAACATCACAGTCACCGGCGTGTCATGTTAGAGAGCCTAGATCGTAAAAAAAGTTACATCTCTAATCATGGGGAGCGCTTATATCACTTTAATGGCGGACGCCCCTGGCGAAGGCTTTTCTCAAGTGCGCATGCGCGCTGCGTTTTCGCGCGCCAAGGAGAAAAGCAAGCGGAAAGGCGCAGACGCTCGCAAACGACCAACGCGTTCGGCACATTCTCGTAGCTCCCAGAAACCACGTGACCCTGATCGAACAGTCGGAAACTCTTTAATGCAGGCTCTCTATGTCATGTAGTCGGATGTCGGGAACCCGGCGTTTGGCGCCAGAAGTCCCGGCCGAAAGCAACGGCGTCATAGTGAATGTAAAGAATTGAAGACATGAGCGGTGAAAGTAGGCGCCGCGCGGCGCCGGCCGCTCTCCGCTACGCCGAGCGCAAGTTCGTCTGCTTTTGCAGGGGTTATGGTGACGGCAGAACGCCGAGCTCTGATTGGCTCTGATCTAAAGACAGTGGGTAGACCTGACGTCACCGCAACTCCTGCGCAAGAAGCGGACGATTTGCTCTCCGCATAGGCGCGCCACAGGCGCACCGCGCGGCTTTATCTGTATCGATCAGATCCCAGCGACGCTGCGCCGCGCGGAAGTGACGCATAGGGACGCCAGCACCGGTTGCTACGATAATGCCGCGGTGCGCTCGTTTTCATCGCTCATCTGTTCCCTGCTTAAGTGTCGCTGTCGTCGCGGACTGCACACTCCTGCTTGTTGAAGCTTCCGTGGACTGCCACGCCGGAGAGCGACCTGCAGCAAAACAGGCGTCTATCTATTATCGCTGCTGTGACAACGCCACGATCGCGGCCGGGGAGGACGTGGCACTTACGACGCCGTCGGGTTGAAAATCAGGAGACCCCTTTTTAAGGCGAGGTAAAGAAAATAGTTCGGGAAGCTTTCAAGGCATCGTAGCTTCACTAGAGTCAACTGTTGACCAACACACTGTTCATCAAGAAGCCCGCGTTTGCCCACACCGGGTGTGGACATTGAGCGTGCACAGAAACCAGAGTCGCCTGAGGCGAAGCATCGTCACACGCGCAGTACCACCAACAGCAGCGCCACCGCACCGGGCTAACGTCAGAGAGTTGAGTTGATCTATAGTCGCTGCCGGCTAAGGAATACAGAAAGTGGAAAGTCCCGAGCGATCTGTTATCAGCCAATCAAGTTGCGGCATAAGCCGAAAAGAACATCGAAGGATGATCCACGAAGCAAGAATCCCGAAGATAATGCCGAACGCAAGTTGGTCTGCTACTTGCGCAGGGGTTGTGGTGACGTAAAAATGCCGACTTTTGATTGGCTCTGATTGGACGAATAGGGGGTGCGACCTCAATGCTAGCTGCCCTAAGGTCTAGCCACTATCGTTTCAATCGAGCGAATCGGAGCTCGGCGTTCTTACACCACCGCAACCCCCTGTGCAAGAAGCAGACCAATTCGCGCTTCGGATAAGCCATGGCTTGCGTCTCTTAAAAGACGCACGCAAAAGAAACTATTTTTTTTAAACAGCCTGGATTGAAAAAGGATGCCATAAAATTACTTTTCCTAAAAAAATTAATTTTTAGAGCTATATTTACGGCGCGAGACGAATTCGTAGTTGGCGCCTGAGGGAGCCCGCAGAAATGTGATTACGAGAGTCACGTGACTGGCCACTAAGTCACATGGTGCATGCGCTGTTTCGCGAGATTTTATGGGCTCTAAAAGGCAGTTATCAATCGTCGTTTTAGGTGCAACAAAAAATTAAGATTAATAACAACTTTTAGAAACCTTAGGAAGCTCCCGAAACAGCGCTAGCACCACGTGATAGACCTGTGTGCAGGTCAGAAATTGACGGCGGCGGCGCGCCGGAGTGTTTCCTTTCGGCGGCGGCGTGAAGAAAAATTGCTAAGTAATGATGACGATAATCACTTTTCCAGGGTTATTTTCGTTAGTAGGACTTGTGAAGTTTTTTGTTTTTTTTAAGCGATAGTTTTACGGGCTACACTTTGCAGATATTTCGATCTCGTCCGTTGTTGTCGCCGCTAAGGAAAAACACTTATCTCCGCTCTTGGCGTGAGGCCAGGGCAGTCGTGTTTTCCCGTCGGCCGCGGTAAGCGGAGAGCCCTGGCATTCCGCCAGTAACGATGCGAGGAGAGAAAAGTCTTCCGTGTCGTCTGCTTGAAAGACTTGTTTTCAAACATTAATCGCGTTATGCGAAATCCCACTTTGTCAGTATCCAGTTGCTACGCGTAATGTTGGATGGTTTTAGAAACTTCCAGCTTGTTCACTCACCTACTTCACGGATCAGCGAGCACTGGTGGCGGTCGTCAGTGGCATCTACGACGCCAACTCCGACGGCTCTGACAATTAACCACGTCGCACGTCCGTCTTCAGGTACGTGACGGCACCCTTCCATGCGCATTGTGCGACCATGCTACAGCTATTGCTTTCGTTTCTTCGCGCATTGTGGCCGAAAAATACGACTTGTTTATATGTTAAACAATATCTGAAATTACTTTATGCGTAAAAAAAGATAAAAAAAAAAAGAACGCGTTGAGTCGCCGGCGCGCTGCGCTTAGCGTGCGTGGCGGTCTGGGGACTTCAGCGGTGGTGGCGACGCACAGGTCTACCACGTGACTAGTGGTCAGTCACGTGACTCTAGAAGACAGCTCCCGTGGGCGTCATCTACAAATTCGTTTCGCGCCATAAATATAGCTCTATTTCTATTTTTCCTTTGAAATTAAATTTATGACACTCTTTTTCTTCCAGGCAGTTTAAGAATTTTTTTCCTTTACATATGCTTTTTTAAGTTTCCAGTGACTATGAGAAGAACAACGCCTGCCGGTGCCAAATAAAAATGCGGAGAAAGCGGTCGCTTTTGTTGTTAAAGCCGCTAACTTCGAGATCCACAACAACCACCGCGTATTTCAATCTTCTTGTGATTCCGTAATAAATCGACAAATTTTTGTCTCGAAATGTGCCATTAAATCTTGATCTAAAGATTTTGACTCAATATTAAACGTTGGTAGAAATATTTTTGTGAGGGCACCCGTTTCCGCACGCAAAATTTAGAAATCCATTGCAAAACACGGATCACTCTGCGCATGCCGGCGTTCCCATGACGGCTTCTACTATCGGTCACGCGATGACGTTGGTTACCTCTGCCACACTGGCATCGAGACACCTTACCGCCTACCACCTCCTAACACTTCCTGGATACTATCCTTACTTAGCTCGACCATACTGTCGCTTTTAAGATGACGTCCTGCGCTTGGACATACCCAGAGAAAGCTTTGAACCCCGGACACTGGAAGGGGCAGTAGGACAGCACCGAAGATCCAGGCGAGGCAGAAAAGGACAGGGCCGAGCCCGACCCGTGCCACGAGCATCACCAGGACGACGGGGTAGCAGAAGAGACCGAAGAGCGGAATGGGAACCAGGAACAAACTGGTGGCAAGCTGGAAACAGTCGACCCCGAGGATGGACACCACGTAGCCGGGTGGGTTGTTGGTCCGCGCTGTGGGCGACAGCTGCGTCATCTGAGCGAACAGCGCGTGGAAGAACAGTCGCAGAAACACTTAACTGGAGCCCACAGCCGGTTTGCTGATCGCTTAAACTATTTCACTCAGCGGCTAACTTATACACAATGAGCATTTTAAAGTCACGGAACCGGTTTCACGAGAGCAAAAAACTAAATATATACCTAGCGTTATTAAAAAGAAAGGCGAAGAGGCCTGCAATGTGAGTGAAATTAACCAATTTTTTTCCTATCTGAAATTGATTTCTGCGGATTATACTCCGAGTGCTGACTATAGTCTGGAAAATACGGTAATTTCGATAGCACTTCATGGCATTTCTCAAACGTTATTGCTTTTCACGGATTTCAGAAGGTTCGACCCGCTTAGAAGGGCGGTTTCATTCGAAATCGAAAACGCGTGTCAAGGTGGGTGTTTTGATTTGCCTGAAACATTTTTAATTATCGACTCATTTTCGCAATAAAAAATCCAATTTTAATCATTTTTAGAAAAGTTTGTTTTCTCAACAAAAGTTGGGAAGAGGAGCAAGGGGAAATGCTACATTTAGGCTTTATGATTTTTGTACCCAGTTCTTATAAACATAGCATGTGCGTCTGTTTTCACGCGGAGCACGGGAATGGCGAATTACCGCGATCGGCAGAACAATGGCGGCGATTTACGGGACAGGGATAACGTCTTCACGCGAAAATGCTATCTGCTCAGATCGCATTTTCACAGAGAATCGTGTTCTCGGCCTTGTTATTTACTGCGTGTTTCAAGCAGAACGCGATGATTGGCTGTACGTGTGTTCTGCAAGAAAGAAGACGCAAGGGCTTTGTTCATGAAAAGTGCGGCTATTACTCGAGTAAATGCCTCGTGTCGTCTTTATTTTTCTGCTGTTAAAAACCATATTACGATATCTTAAAACCGGAAGCTTTGTGTTGCAGCTATCATTCCAGTCGTCGAAATGAACGCTTTCGCTCTATGAAAAAGTACCTCGACGTAGCTCTGCTGTGGACAGGTTTTCCCTCTTTCAGCGCTGCTGCAATGTGCTTTGGCCGAAATTGCTTCGCACACCTGGCTGAATACTTTGCGTGCTTTGTCAGCAGTAAGCTCAGCTCAAGTTTGTGCAGTCAGAGCTAACAAAGAAAATAAGACAAACTATAAGTTACAGTTAGTATAATGTTTTTAGGGGTTCCTGATTAATAGACAAAACCAAAAAGCTGAGACTTCACAGCTTATTGCTACAGCTTCGCGTGTGGCGAGTGGTGGCCAGGGTGTAAGATAGACAGGTGGGGAAACGAGAGCCAAATGAGCGACCGAATTGCGTCCCCCTCGGTTTTCTCTTTTTCTGTGGCGCCATCTATGTGGAGCACCGCGAACTCTCACTCCGGGTGGGCGACCGATGGCGACCGGCTAAACTGACGGAGATGGTTTTTTGTGGATTTTTAATGAAAGACTGTTGTGCTCTCGGTTTATTTTGCGCAGTCTCCCATAGAGTTCCACGCAAATCCGATTCCGATTTTTTTCCTCTCGCCGCAGCGCCACCTGTCGGAAGTCGGGGGTACCCGCAAGCAGACGAGTACACAATCCGGTCACGGCGCTGCGGTAGGCTTCTATGGGCCGTTTCCCCACCTGTCTATCTTACACCCTGGTGGTGGCACAATATGCGTCAAGATTTTGTCAAGTCTTTGCTCAGTCGGGAGGGATGCCAGCTTCTTAGTTCTGTCAGCGTTACGGTTATTCCCGATTGATTCCCTAAGCATAAAAATACCTGCTACGAAAATGGACACAGTTGTAGATTTACTTTTGTGCTTGAAAACTCACATTTTTACCGTGCGAGGAAGGTTCACATCTAGGAATTAAACTTGGCAACTGAGTTTTGTACATAAACGATCTTCATTGTTTTATTAAAGTCGCAAACATAAAACATGCCATGAAAGCAAGTAACACATTTAGAAACAAAACTCGTAGTCAGAATAGACATGATTAGGTTAATTTGAAAGACCTACTTGAGGTTTCTGGAAGCCAGAACGGAGATTACAGCATTTTAATCTCTCCGTCTAAAATAAAGGAAGATCAGGTGCCTACGTGTGTTGTATCAGTTTTGTCTTTGTTTTTGTACTCGCTCAAAGATGAAATTGCAAAGCAAGAACTTATATCTATATGGGCCTTTTACCAAGCCAAGCTCAGCATATCCATGTTAAGGTGTTTCATAAGGGGAAATCGTTAATTCCTATATATCTCCTATTTATGTCAGCCATCGTATTGAGACGAGCAAATCTGTGATCGTCAGTCATTGTTAAAACTGGACCCAAGTACGAATGTAAAACGCAAGAGGGGACTGGAATGCTAGCGACAATACCAGGACTACACAACTGTAGATATCTGGTTTTAGCAACCATTAAATTTGGGTTGGTCCAATTTTCGGGAAGAAAATAACATGACAACACGAAGTACGCAGGCAATATGAGGGGAAAAGATTAAACTGAGATAAACACCAATATGCTCCCGGATTAAGTGTCCTAAAAAAATAATAGTAATAATAATATTAATAATAATAATTTATTGCATTTCCTTAAAGGTCCTCAAAGTATCATTTCGGGACCGTCAAAGTCCTTAAAACTTGTAGGGCTGATCCCAACAAAATTTCTACAAAGAGCTCAGATAACGTTAAACACGAAACAAAGAAGCTGCAGAGGGTCAGAGACGTGAAAAGGTAAATAACGTTAAAGGCGAATTGGAGAACACGTGCATACAATCACTGAAAAACGTCTTGAAGGTTTACGCTTTTATAGTCTTCCTTTTCTTTTTAACTTTCCACAAGAGGTGGTATCACTCAGCGCAGGTGGGAGGTTCTTAAAGGTGTGTAGAATATAATCACCGAATGCAAGTTCCAAAGAGTGCGTTGATTTGAGGCGTGGCATATGGTGCCACTTTCCGAAGGTCATGTCAGACCACGTTGAGAACCTTGAAGGTATAACGGTATGCATAAATAGGGCTCGAAAGGATGGTAAAGAGAGATCTTCAAATATGTTATCGGATGTTTGAATATTGGAGCCATATTCCACGCTACGTAAGATGCCCTTTAGTGTAGAATTCACTTTAGTTTCTAAAAGATTCGTTCCCTTCCAGAACAAAGTTATTCTATATCGAAGGACACTTTAAACGAGTGCGCTCATAATGAATCTTCGGGCTGACATCGGGATGAGTGTTCTTATATTATAGAGGGTGCAGGATGAAGCTCGCAGTTTCTTCCCGATGTAAACAAATGGGAACTCCGCGATAAATCAGAGTCAAAATAAATTCCTAAGTAATTTCTAGTGTTCACGTAGTCTACTGGAACACATTCACAAGAAGCACAGTTTGAAGCATGCAGAAGTTTCGGCTCGTTTAAAATTACTCTCTTCAGCGGACTACAAAAGCACATTAGTTGCGTTTTCCTTTTCGTGTTCACACTAATGACATTTCCTGAAAACAAATCCATAATCTTAATTGAATCAAACTGCAGTAATTCTAAAACCTTACTATAATGTAAGTGAATCGATAATAGAACGGTATCATCTTCGTATTGAAATATCTTACAGTATTTCACCACCTGGGAAGGGTCATTAACATAGCTATTAAAAAGAAGAGGTGAGAGCACACACCACTGAGGCACACCAGATATAAAAGATGTTTTCGCACTGTTTTATTCCGACACCAAAACTAGCTGCATTTGGTTTGAGAGAAGATATTAAGCAGAGGGTGAAACGAACCCCTGAACCCTGAGCTGAAGAGTTTTCTAAAAAAAAAAACTTGATGTGACACAGAGTCAAAAGCTTTGGAAACATCTGAGAAAAATGCACAGGTAACAAGATTATATTCAAAGGCAGCATTCAGTGGATCGGAAATATCCTCAAGAAGAGGCTGCGTGCCTTTTCTAATAAGAAAACGAAACTACTGCGGAGAAAAAAAATTAAATTTATTCATGTAATCAGTTATTGTAATAAAAAAATGTTTCTCCAAACTCTTTGCTATCGAAGACTATCCCGATAGGCTATCGCGCTATCGAGATAGGGGGGCGATAGCATTCTACTTTACCATGTTTTGCACTTTTAGATAAAAGTTTTACAACTGCTATTTTAAAGTGGTCTGGAATTATACCTGAAGCTATTAAAACCGTTCAGCATACCTAGAAGTATATTCTTGATGAGTTTTGATTTCTACATAAATTGGACATTCGTACACCATCAATTCCAGTAGATAGGACGAGGCTTAAAAGTAAGCCGTATAGTTTGTAGCGCTCGCTCTGTTATTTCAGGAAGGAAAGCGCAAGCTACATTCGGAGTGATTGAAAGCGAGGAGTCAACTTCGTTATCGAAGAATATGCTGGAGGTCTTTCCAAAATAGGTGTTGAAAGCATTGGCTGCAGAGAGCGGACTACACGGAAAATTATTTTCCACGGTTTCGCCAACCGAACGTTTAACACTAGAACCATCACGAAGTTCGTTCGTAAAAGACAAAGTTACCCGGGTGTGAAAGCGTGATTCAACCGACTTTGTGTCAACATATAGTTACGTTTAGTCAATTTTATCATTGCGGTTACTTTATTACATTCACTTTTGAATTTAATCTGCAATTCCTTATTTTTCGGTCACTGTCGACTGCGCGTACACAAAAGTTATTTGTATTTAATTGCGGCTAATATGTCATCATTCAGTCGCGTGAGTTCCGATCGACGCTTTTTAACAGTAATAACTTTTGTACTACAGTCAATAAAAGTTCACCGCAGCCGAATGAACTTTGAATAAATCTCCTGTTCATAAAAGACCGCAAGAAAGTGTCCTAATCACATGATACTATTAATTTGTCAAACGCTTTGCGATCAAAACTTTTTATGTTTCTCGTTTTAAAACAGGCGGTTTGCAGGGGATCCTTTGAGAGCAGTTGACAAGCCGTGAAGTAGTAGTCCGCGAGTTTTTGTGAGATAACCGCAGATTTAACTGGAACGCCGTGGGCACGAATATTGACGTGATCTGGAC